ACCAAATTTGATAAATTTTAGACAAAAACTGTGTCCTCCATTGCAATCACAAGCCAAATGATCATATAAAACTAATACTCACTAATTTCCAGCATTTCTTCATGATTTTATAAATAATATCAGGAGCTGCTGGTGGTTGATTCAACCTCTTATTATCACTGACTACATAATCTACCACATCACTATTTTTCATTTTACCATAGGGCATTTCACCAGCTGTAAATATCTCCCACATTAATACTCCTGTATCAATAAATAACATCATATTTAATTAGTAAATAATCCTAAAGGGACACATTAAATTCCTGGACACAATATTATAGTATACAACTACTGGGTTTTATTATATAAATATGAATAAAAATCTCTGGGACTTGATACATAAATCCTAGGGAAATGTTTTGGACATCAAAAACTACTAAGAGAGAATGTTTGTTGCCTCTGGTCACTGGTACATGTATTTTACATCTGTGTTTATTGAGAGTACTCTAGATAGGTATCCTTCCTACGAAAATCTCTTGCTAATAAATAATTTCCAAGTTGCAAGAATCTGTTCATTAAACAAGAACTACATAAAGTAAGTGCTGTAACAGGGTATAGCTTGTTGGAGTATTTATTACATTTTATCATACTCAATTTTTTAGAAAACTCAAAGTCAGATTTCCTTTCTGAAAGTGCTACAAGGACGAAATGCACATTATATATCCCAAATCAATGAAATATGCAGTTCCTTTCTTTAAAGAATAAAAATTGTGGACAATAATTCAGAAACCTCTTATAGAAAAGTTGTGAAAATCAAATCTTTTCCATAGCTTATAAAGAGATGTAGGAACATAAGAACATACCAAAAGCCCAGATGTCAGATTTACTACTAAATCTTGTGTAACTTAATACTTCAGGTGGTGCCCATTTTACTGGGAATTTGGTTCCAACAGAACTTGTATATTCATCATCTATCACATATCTAAAATATACAAGCACTATATATTATCCTTGCTGGAGTTTTACTTCGTCTTTTCTGCTACTACCTTGGTTAAGAGATGGTCAACACCATACAGTGTAAACCAATAGAAATTTGTTTAGGAAAATGGAACCACCTTAAGAAAATTAATTGCTCAAGTAAATTACAAACCTGAAAAAATCTCATGCTACAACA